CCGACAAGGATACATTGTGTTTAAGGACTAGCCAGCTGAGAAGAGGTCACAGATATCCTCAAGATCCCCCTTAGAAGCCAATAACCTGGACCCCAGGGATTCTGCATCGGAGAGTTTTAATTCAGATGGGTGTGGACATACATGGGAGGTGTCAGTCTACTTGAGTTATAGAATCTTAACAAGGATGACTTTGCTGTAAGGTCTCGGACTAATAGAGCAATACCTGTGGTGGCACAAATGGTGAGCTGCATTTATATTTTCACCTCTGGCAACTCTCAAACTTGCCAGAGGTGAAGGTAATGTTCCCTCACCCACTCGGAGGGGACAAAGGCCCTGGGTGCACACAATCATCGGTTAAAGAGCCTATAATAATAATACACATCCCAGATCACAAGCCTTGGCTGAGTGTACCTTTGCTGTACTCAAATCATGTTTTATTGACTCTGGAAGGGTTCTACTCCACACCCCATTAAAGGTAACTAACATCACATCTTACTGTTTGCACAGTGGGATGCCCTTCTGTGGGGAGTTCTCCTGGACCTGCATCTCAAAGGGGAGCCACCAGAACATTAGATCTGCTGCTCAGAGATTCCAGTGAGCAATTAGGTTTAGACAAGCATTACTCAAACCTCATATGTTGAGCTATGTAAAATACAGTATTACAACTCATACCTAAATAATACAGTTTAAATGTACTGTATGAACAACATAAATGACAGAACACACAAATAATTTGCATGCAAAATATATATTATTATAGAGATTTATTTTTTTTAGTAAATTGTGATATAGATTCAACATCCTCTTACCCAGTGAGTGGAGGGGCTGTTGGTTCTCTGTCAAGATGTCCTTGTAGAGATCCTTGTGTCCTTCTATAAACTCCCACTCCTCCATGGAGAAATAGACAGTGACATCCTCACATCTTATAGGAACCTGACAGACGCAATGACACAGTTACCATCCAGACACATCCCTTGGTTTTACTGTATGATGTCCCATTCCAAGCAGCCTCACCTCTCCAGTTAGCAGATCAATTATTTGATTAGTCAGCTCGAGGATCTTCTGCTCATTGTTTCTCTCTTCTATCAGTGAGTGAGCTGTAGGAACAGTGCTGGGGCTCTGGGACTTGGTAGATCCTCCACACAAAGGATGACAAATATTGTGTCTCCGAACAGGCATCTTCACAACCACATGATCCTACACATTAAGAGAAGGATAAATGCAGATTCCACTACAAGACGTGAGAATTTTGTAGCACAAGTCCACTCTGTTACCCCATTCATCCAATGTTAACGTCCGTTCTCCTGCCTGACATTAAGAAGCTTCACTGCACTGGACATAGACACAGTCAGCAGGTAAATGATCTCCATAATTACATTACCCAGAATCCCTCACCTCTCCAGTCAGCAGGTAGATGATCTCCATAATGACATTACTCCAGAATCCCTCACCTCTCCAGTCAGCATGTAGATGATCTCCATAATGACATTACCCAGAATCCCTCACCTCTCCAGTCAGCAGGTAGATGATCTCCATAATGACATTACCCAGAATCCCTCACCTCTCCAGCCAGCAGGTAGATGATCTCCATAATGACATTACCCAGAATCCCTCACCTCTCTAGTCAGCAGGTAGATGATCTCCATAATGACATTACCCAGAATCCCTCACCTCTCCAATCAGCAGGTAGATGATCTCCATACTGACATTACCCAGAATCCCTCACCTCTCCAGTCAGCAGGTAGATGATCTCCATAATGACATTACCCAGAATCCCTCACCTCTCCAGCCAGCAGGTAGATGATCTCCATAATGACATTACCCAGAATCCCTCACCTCTTCAGCCAGCAGGTAGATGATCTCCATACTGACATTACCCAGAATCCCTCACCTCTCCAGTCAGCAGGTAGATGATCTCCATGGTGACATTACCCAGAATCCCTCACCTCTCCAGTCAGCAGGTAGATGATCTCCATAATGACATTACCCAGAATCCCTCACCTCTCCAGTCAGCAGGTGGATGATCTCCATAATGACATTACCCAGAATCCCTCACCTCTCCAGTCAGCAGGTAGATGATCTCTATACTGACATTACCCAGAATCCCTCACCTCTCCAGCCAACAGGTAGATGATCTCCATACTGACATTACCCAGAATCCCTCACCTCTCCAGCCAGCAGGTAGATGATCTCCATACTGACATTACCCAGAATCCCTCACCTCTCCAGCCAGCAGGTAGATGATCTCCATGGTGACATTACCCAGAATCCCTCACCTCTCCAGCCAGCAGGTAGATGATCTCCATACTGACATTACCCAGAATCCCTCACCTTTCCAGTCAGCAGGTAGATGATGTCCATATTGACATTACCCAGAATCCCTCACCTCTCCAGTCAGCAGGTAGATGATCTCCATGGTGACATTACCCAGAATCCCTCACCTCTCCAGTCAGCAGGTAGATGATCTCCATGGTGACATTACCCAGAATCCCTCACCTCTCCAGTCAGCAGGTAGATGATCTACATAATTACATTACCCAGAATCCCTCACCTCTCCAGCCAGCAGGTAGATGATCTCCATAATGACATTACCCAGAATCCCTCACCTCTCCAGTCAGCAGGTAGATGATCTCCATAATGACATTACCCAGAATCCCTCACCTCTCCAGTCAGCAGGTAGATGATCTCCATAATGACATTACCCAGAATCCCTCACCTCTCCAGTCAGCAGGTAGATGATCTACATAATTACATTACCAAGAAT